ACTGTAGAGATCTTCACTTAACATACAACAAAGAAATTATGTACAATGTAAATTTTGAAAACAAAATGTATTTACATAACACAATGCAATCACGAAATACAAATTCAATACTAATAAAATAGTTTTCCATTTCTGTTGCTAAAAAAATAATTTATTTGGGGTGAGACTAGAAATTAAACAGAATTACAATTTACTTTCACACAGTTCTGATAAAGCTCTGTAAACATGTTTTCCAGCAAGAATTCACCAAGTTTACTACTGTCAAACAAATTGTGACATAGATATGATTTGATATTATAATATGGATATCTTGTGAACTCCTACATTTAACACAAATAATTTACTTTGTTTTTACAGTATATGAGAGTTGATAGATGTTTCACATTAGCTCAAAATCTAAACTTTTTGATTTAAGTTGATACAAAGCAAACTATACAGATATTAATTTCTTTGTTTGACCGGAAAAAAAGTAACAAGCAGCGGAGATCAACATAAACAATAAAATGTTAGCGTGACAGGTTTTCAAATGCCTATTGTGAGAAAGTATAATGTAAATAGGTGATTTTCTGTTCACTGCAAGACCTTGCGTTTAATGTCTATAATTTTAGAGGGGATTACGGTGCAGAAATGTGTGCACATCCAAATTAACTATAGGATAGAAAAGTGTATAGCACATTACTAAGCACAGTTGATGTTACAACTCAATGACTTTTGGTTATCCTGTTTTTACATTTCATTTCAAAGTGAATGGAAAACTGTAATTGATGTGATTTCAAACCTTGAATAACATGTTCAATATTATTCTTGCATTATATAGACCATTGAAAGATATGAGAAATGAGACAGAGCTGAGTTAAGAGTCATTAAAGACATTTGCAGGAACCCTGTATTTACATTATCTATATTTTAAGTTCTGTGAGAATCCAGATATTGTTCATTCCAAAGTGCCTGCAATGAGAAGATAAAAGTGTGAGCTACTATTAGTATGAAGTGGGGACAGTTTGTCTGGGATAAGGATCTAGCTAATACGAAATGAAAATCATTTCAGAAATTTAATCAGTGTTCATTACTATTTACATAAAAAAAAGTCGTTTTAATTAATGATACATGTATCAATGAAACCATTTTAATTGTAAACACCAATAAAGCCATATTTTTGTTGCAATAAAAAAGAATGATTTCAGTAGTTTTATCGCTGATGGTGCAGTTGTTGAGCATAAAGTAAAGATTGATTCTTTTGAATGCTTGCACCTCTGAAAAGAAGAGTCTTGTACATCTCATGTACAGTGGTCTTTTTGAATCAGTTTTCATTTTTTATGTTTACTTCAAAACAACTGAAGCACTATGGCATCTGATTTGGAAATAACTTTTAAAAAAATTAAGGTATTTAAAAAATAATGGTTTTCCATTGACACAACAAGCACCCTTGCCTAGATTATCAGTATTCCTACAATGTTCTTGCCATATCACAACTATGATTATTTATTTATTTGTTTGTTTGTTACCACGGCAATTAAAATTGTTATCTGGTTACAAATCTCACATTTGTTCTACCCATGATAGGATTAAATGTTGAACTTTTGCAGGAATGACAAATTAGTATAAACGTAATTTTTGAATTAGACTGATAATGTGGTAGGTGAGTGTAACTTCTTTATTTCGTCATATTCTATTCATTTTAAGAAATTGTTGTCAACACGATACTGTTGATCCATTTCAACATAAAACATTTCACATGAAGAATTTGTCCAGCCTGCAGCTAGAAACAGGAAGTGAGCTCCCTTTAATGGCTCCTTACTAGCTTAACCATTTAAAAACAGATAGACCTGCAAAAACTATCGACAAAACTGGCCTACAAGTAACGCATATTTTTATTTATTTACTTTTGCCTTACACATAACTGTATGACCTTTTCACCACCATACTTTTTCACCCATATTTTTGTGCACTTTTTTCTTAATATTTCTTAATATTTTTTAATATTTCTGGAAATGAATTCTAATTTTGGAGCCAAGAGACAATATTTTCAGTAAATTTTCAGTTTTTACTCAAAAAGATTATGACTATTTTTGTCCAAATCTGTTGAAGAAAAGACTATTTTGTGAGTTTGTCATAAAAAATAGGAAACTGGTGGTGAAAAAGATAACACAAAGCCACAGCTGTTTGCCAACCAGTGTGGTAACACAAAAACAGAAGGTGTACATGTACAGTTATAAGTACCTACCTTCAAGGAATGCCAATTCATCCAACGATTGGATGGAAGAATCTACAACAAAAATATAAATTTTAGCAACAATGACTTTGCAAATGTGTATTAGCTGTTTATCTAGTCAAATATGCAAATTATACTGAGCCACTATAACCTTTGTATCATATAGAACACATAGTGTAACAGTACACATATGCGAACAGTACATTATTTATTAAGGCCAACAAAGATAACTTTAAGTTTGTGTTACAAAGAATAAAACATGTGAAAAAATGTATACGCTTGAAAGTAAGTGACAAAAATAATATGGAATATTGCTGTCAATAAATGTTCTTAAGGTAGAGATGCAGGTCCGTGGGCACTTGGGAGCTACATTTTTTTTTTTTGCTTTTTATCATTCAAACAGTCTTGGCTATAGACTGTTAAAATTGTGTAGAATTTTGAATAGTGGAACAATCTCAAAAAAAACGATTTTAAAATATAGATAACAGGATTTAGCAAGGTTGTACATAAATAAAAAAAAAAGAAACATGGTGAAAAAAAAATGACAATCTCCATATTATGCACTATATTTAACTTTTTACAAAACGATAATACATTTAATTTGGAACTGTTACAGCCATTTTAAATATGAGCATTAGCAAACTTCTTACTGAGTGAATGGTTATGCAAATTAGCAATTATCTCAGCTTTTTTTTAGTGCACATCCCAGAACTTAAAAAAAAAAAAAAGCTCCTAGACGCTTTGACCTTTTGTTTTGAAATTTTTCACAAATGATTGACAATGTGTTTATCTTCAAAACGCCGCCGGGGCATTGTTTTTGGTTGAACAGTGTTACAACAATCGACAACTCGCCTGGGCGTTAATTTATGCATAAACTTGAAGTAGTGAAATTTTAGCTGCTGCCCTGCAAAATTGACAACTGGTAGACAGTTTTCAAGACAGCACTTTCTTCATAGTAAAAATATGTACCCGTAAACCAATTTTGGAAATAGGAAATAGAAGCATCGTTTAGAAGCTAATTTTTTTTTTAAATCACTTTTGACCAAAAAAGCACATTTTTGTGCATATTTCAAACTACAGTGTCCATAAAAAAAAAATACTTACAAAAATTTTTAAATTCATACAATAAGCTTTCCGAAAATATATAGTTTTGTGGACAAGGGAGGTCATCTTTGTTTCCTAATTAACTAATTAAAATACCTGTCAGGTAAACTACATCTCTACCTTAAAAGTTCCAATAAAGAGAGTTCCTTCCTATAAAAACTCACCGATGTCTTTCCTCTGCATGGTCTTCCTTTTACTCTGAGATGTGTAGTTGTGGGAGTACTTTGATATATAGTCAACAAACATTTCCTGAAAATAAAACAAACAGAACCAGCCACAATGAGTTTTCATGCATCTTAGCCAATGATACACGTATAACAATTTCACATAAAAATGGCATGTACATGTATTGTTGAGCTATAACTAGTACAACAGTTCAAATATAACTCAAGTCCCAAGCTAACTCCCAGAAGGCTTTGCCTTCATAAAATATAACTATGTATTTTTAAAAGTGAAAATCACTTATTCTTTGTTGTATTTACAATGTACCTAAGTTATGAATATGATACTTATTTTGGTAACATTGAACCTTTCACAATTTAGATAGATGGTGGTTTTAAAAGCAAGATAAGCTACATGTAGCTTAAAGCCAGTTGAAAACTAACAACATTGAGTTCCACTGGAATAGCACCAAGAGCCAATTTATTTCCAAGACTTTTCCGGACCTTTTCCCAAACTTTTTTGCATTTTTCCCAAGACATTTTGACCCTTAATTCAGGACAACATCATCACCAAAGCTCATCAAAGTTCTGAGGTTATGGCAGTTCCCTGGAGAAACGAGCCTTTCTAAAATGAATAAATAACTATGAAGAAATTTAAAGACTTTTCAAAGATTTATTTTTCCTGTAATTTAAAGACAACTCAAAGACTTTCCAGACCACAAAAAATTAAGACTTTCAAAGGATTTTTCCAACATTATGGACCCTGTTAACCATCAAATAGTCAAGTGATTGACAAATTAAAAA